ATGGATGGATGGATGGATGGCCAGACAGGAGGGAGGGAGGGAGCAAGGGAGGAAGGAGGAAGGAGGGAGGAACAGACAGGTATATAGATGGATGGACGGATGGATAGGTGGGTGGATGAATGCATGATGCATGGATAGATAGGTGAGTGGATGGATGAATAAAAAATGGACAGATAGACAAATGGAAACAATTATGCTCTCGTCCTTCCTCCCAGTAACCAACAAACCGTCTTGATAGCAAGGGCTCATTGCTGTCAACGCAGCTAGACTCTCAGCTCACTCTGCCCACATGCACCTTACAGGGCGTGGAGTCCCTGCATCCTCCAAGCCTCTGCCCGAGAACGTGGTGCTTCTTGACAGCCTTCTAGATGGGCAGCTCCGATGGCTGTGAGACACTGTCTCCCCAGACACATGACCATGGGGCCTGTGCCCGTTGGTGTAACAAGTCCCTTTCTGCCCAAGTCCTAGCCTTTGGTGCTGGAGGGCTGTGTTGCCATGGCCTTGGCCACAGGCCATGGTCAGACCCTGGCCCCTCCTGGACGCTCCTGTGGCTAGGTCTCTGTGGCCCCACATCTGCAGACTCAGTGCAGGGTCATGGCATTCTGTCCTGAGGGCTAGTGCTGGGCTGGGAATGTGGGCCAGTGCAGAATGGCTTGTCATGATGGTGGCGAGAGTAGAAACATCTCTGTGGGGGATGGCAGGCTTGCCGGGTGTGCTGGGGGCAGGCCATCTGTCCATCTGTGCAGTGACACAGGTACCTGCTTGTTAGGGTTTTGGGGAGGCTGCTCATGTGAAACGGAACCAGTGTCTCCTGCACGGCCTGGTCACCAGGACTCCATTTCACCTTGATCAGTTCAAGGACACTGTTCACAGGGCACCAGGTCCAGGGTCCAGGCAGAAGGTGGTTTTAGTTGTTATTTTGTGTCCTAGTGAGACAGACTGGGCTCAGGGACGCTGCCATCTCTGCATCCTGCTCGGTCCTCCTGCCTAGTCAGGCCTTGCGGAACAGCCTTGGCTGCTGCATCCTCACCAGCACCTCCCAGGAGGGCAGGGATACCCTCTAGCGCCCTCCACCTTCCTCCACAGCCGTCCTGTCACTCGACTGTGCAGTCAGCAAGCTGGACCTGTGAGGAGAGGTGGCTGGGCCGAGACATGCTGGGCCCAGGGGCCTGCAGGATGGACACTCAGGCTGCTCCCTCACTCACGTGCCAATAGCCAGCCTTTCCTGGAGGGGACTGCCGTGGGAAATGCATGCCCCGAGCAGACACCCAACAAAGGGGTGGTTGCCACAGGGACACCGCAGTGACATCCCTGCCCCCACAGAGGCCTGTGGGAGCAAGTCTGTGTACGACGGCCCCGAGCAGGAGGAGTACTCCACGTTCCTCATCGACGACCCCCAGGAGACCTACAAGACACTGAAGCAGGTCATCGCAGGGGTGGGGGCCCTGGAACAGGAGCACGCGCAGTACAGGAGGGACAAGTTCAAGAAGACAAGATACGGGAGTCAGTGAGTGCCTCGGGATGAGGCTGTGGGCAGGGTGTGGCCAGGTCCACCTCAGACCTCTGATGGTGCCCACCTGGGGAGGAGGCTGGGCCTCCCAGCCTGTCTCAGCCAGTGTCTGGCCCCATCTGCCTCTGCCTCACACGCCCTCTGCCATCTCCCAGGTCACTGGCACAGGCTGGCTCTGGAGTGGCCACATTCTTGTCCCAGGAGGGAGGGGGTAGGGCATGCGGATGCTCAGGACTGAGTCAGGTGGACCACACTCGACCCATCACCAGCTAAGGCTGGCAGGTAGCATGGCTTCCACCCCCACTTCTGCACAAGAGCAGAGGTCATGGGAGATTGAGTTCAATGAGGCGAGGGCTAGAAGAGCCCATGGCCAGGGGTGAGTGGGCGTCTTGACTGTGCCCATCCAGCAGGTGCCAAGGGACTCCATGACAGAGCCACCACACAGCCTAGAATGGGTGGGTGAGCCTGCAGGGAACGCCGACCATGCAGGGAAGAGGCCAGGGTTCTGGGAAGGATCAAGTGAGGCTCAGGGAGAGTGACCACTCCCCACGTCCTGCTGGATAGAGCCCGAGCACCTCTAGGGCCTCCAGCATTGAGGCAGGTCTTGGACACACCTGGCAGGGAGCCCACACCCCCTTCTGAAGGCCTCCCTCCTAACGTCAGAAGCCAGCAGCCTTGCAGTCCAAAGCCAGGGGGCTGACCGCAGCCCAGGAAGCAGAAGCCTGTTCTAGGGGAGGTGTGGCACCCAGAGCAGGCAGCGACCCACCCCAGACACCCACTACCCAGCACCGGGCATCCTTCAGCCACAGGTGGACAGAGCCCGCCTTCCCCACGCTCACAACACACACTCCATAGTGTACCACACACCGTGTGCACACAGGTCCAGCCTACACACGTGAACCTCATGCATGACAACGTGTGATCTGCAGCCGGGGTACACTGCACGCCAACATGTGTGCGTGCTGCATGTACCACCTTGCGTGTGGATGCTGCGCACGTGTGTGCACACTGCATAGCGCAGACACACAGCACCTCTCTCCTTCAGGGAGCACCCAGGGGGAGAAGCCTCCTCCTCCCCTTCCAGGGAACACCCAGAGTGGGGACCTCCTGTTCATGAAGCATCCTATCCCCACTTCTTCCAGGGACACACAGAGTACAGAGCCTCTTCACCCTCATCTTCCGGGGAGCACCCAGAGGAGGGAGGGAGCCTCTTCTCTGCCTCTCTTCCAGGGAGCGCCTGGGGTGTAACTTTACCCTCTCCCCGTCTTCCAGGGAGCACCCCATTGGAGACAAGAGTTTCCAGAACTACATCCGACAACAGTCCGAGATCCCCACCCATTCCATTTGAAGTGTGTGCCGTGCTCTAGGGTGGCACCAACGTGCTGCACAAGGCCACCCACCGCCGAGCAGCAGAGGGAAGCAGGACCAGTCCTGGCTGCCAGGGCTCCGCACGTCTCCACTCAGAACTCTTAACTCCTGCTTGCCTCACCTGCCAGTGCCCAGTGGTCTGACTGGCCTCTGGAGTGTGGGGTCATTGTCTTCTCATTCCCTTTGTCCTGTGGAGGTGCAGGGGTCAGATGAATGGCCAGGAAGCATGGACTGCCCAGTAGTCATCCAGGCCCTCCTCTGGCCTGGCCCTGGCTCTTCTGCTGCACCCCTCCAGACGTGGACAGTGTCACTCCATCCCTACAAGCCTACTGCCCCCCTGGCTGTGGCAGGGGCCTCCCTGTCTGTTTGTGGCTGGCATCCCTGAGGGGCCTGGGCTTTGGGGGCCTGGGTCCCTTCTGCAGAGTCCAGGCAGGGAGAGGCAAGATTCAGTCTCCTCTGGCTGACTGGCCAGCCCCAGTCCCAGCACAGCTGTCCCACTGTGAGTCAGTGTCCAGTCCCAGCACAGCCGTCCTACTCCGGGTTGGTGTCGGGAACCACAGTCCACTTGCCTGCCACCCCATGGGGAGGTTGGGGGGAGATTTTTGAAAAGTGCATTTTTCAAGCCGTCTTTCTTATTGTTTTTAAAGGAGTGTTTTTAATTAGCTCTTTGATGTAAGGTAACTCAGAACATTGAAACCTTTACCTGCTCAAGAGGGCTCTGAGAGGCAGGTAGCCGGGAACTGTGTCTCCAGCTGCCAGAAGGTTCTCCCAGGGACTGCTGCGCCCCGTCTCAGGAGCCCAGGAGGAGAAGGGCATGGCCGTGGCCAGAGCTGCTGTCTTGTGACAGGAGGGTTGGGGCAGGAGGGCAGACCTCTTCAGCTTGGTGGCACACTGGTGTTGCAGACCCTTGCTCTCCAGCACCCCTGGCCTGTGGCAGGGGGTCCTGGGGAAGCACTGAGGCACATGTGGACTTCCTTGTCCAGGCTTTTCATCTAGGGACAGATAGTCACATCATTTCTTGTCACAGAAGTAGTGGAGGAAAGTGTAAAAAACCTCTGGACACATGCTCTCAGGCTGCGATTTTTAACAGGGATTTGTAACAATGTTTCTGTTTATAAAATACTAATAATTTGCAATGTATTTTACTGGCCAATTAAAACAGAGGTTTTATTCTTTCTGAGGACTGGCCTGTTTTCCACAGGAGCCCACTGGTCACTGCGCTCGTTGGGTAGGGGCACCATGTGGGGAGTGGCAGGTGACAAGAGAGGGTCTGATGACAAGTGGCATCCCTCCGGCAGGCGACATTCAGGTGACATGTGGAGCTTTAGGTGGGAACTTGGCCCGCGGTGCCTTCAGGAGAGGTGTAGCCCCAGGAGAGGGGAGGGCAGACTGCACCAGGAGCTGAGCTGTGCAGCCTCAAGATGCGTGGAGCTGAGCCGTGGCCCTGGGGGTGGAGGGATGGGCACCCCCGGGACGGGGGGAGCTGCTGTCTGCTGTTCTGCTGCCCCTCCTGAGGCCAGGAGAGGGTCAAAGGGCGGTATAGGCAAAGACCCCGTGGCTGGGGCCAGGGATGGCTGATGTGGTTTCTAATTTCTTTAATCTTTTCTCCATTTTGTTTTTCTTTACTTTTTTTTTTTTTTTGCCGGGGGGCTACTGGGGATTGAACTCAGGGACACTCAACCACTGAGCCACATCCCCAGCCCTGTTTTGTGTTTTATTTAGAGACAGAGTTTGCTGAGTTGCTTCTGATTTCTTTATTTCTTCCTTCTCTCCATTTGGTTTCCCTCTCTCTCTTTTTAATTCCCTCAGTTGGCTCCATCAGGAGGAAGGTCTTGGGTCTGCCTCTGGGGACTCAAGTCAGACATTTCTTGGGAGTCATCAAGTGGCTAAGGACTGTGCCCCAAAGGCGGAGGCTGGATTGTCCCTGGTTAGCCTCCTCCATCCACAGGAGGGCGGGGTTGGGCAGGGAAGGTGAGCATCCCGGGCTGGGCTCTGGGCAGCACCAGGACCTGAGGACCCAGTTCACACTGGGGGGTATGCAATCAGAGTCAGGATGAGAAGGAACACGGAGGTAGGAGGCTGGCCCTGGAGGAAGGAGATCAAAAGGCCAAAAGGCCAGAAGGCCACAAAGTGGGCCCTAACGGCCCCGTGTTCCCATGAGGGGTCAGAGGCTCCTTGGAGACCCGTCATTCTGCTCATCCTCTTGCTCACTAGCCTTGGGCCCGTGGCCTGTGCCCTCTGGGATGCCCCAGGAGGACCCGTGTGTGGAGGCTCCCTTGCTCCCTCCAGGTGCCCATGAGCCTCATCCTGGGTAAGCTGGTGGTCAGGAGGCATGTGCATCAGCGGGTCCCCTGAGGGTGCAGAGCAAGCCCCTCAAAGTAAGCTCCTCTGGTAGAAGAGTTATTTTGAGCCAAAGGCACTTTAAAAACCCAGCAGTGCAAGGAAGGTCCTCTGACCTCCCTTTCTCCCGAGGGGAAGATGAGGCCCCAGCCACAGTTTCTGGAGGACAGCAGCTCCCACACAGACCTGGTCCAGCTGACCCTGGTCTTCCCACTGCTCCCCCACTGTGCACCGTGACACCGAGCTCTCTGTTTCGCCCGGGGGAGCAGCCCCACCTCTGGGCCCCCGGTGTCAAGCAAGGCGTGCTGAATGCACACTCCTCCCCAGGACCTGCCTCAGTGGGGTCCACAGCCTCACCCCCCCCCCAGCCCTCCAGGGGCAGGGCAGTTTTCCTCCCTATCCCTGCTCTGTGTGGCCAGCTGGAGCAGAGGAGCAGGGATCTCCTGTTGGGCTGCACTGGGCTGAACTGTGCCCCCAAGTCACATGTTGAAGACCCCACACCCAGCACCTCAGAGTGAGGCTGTATGTGGAAACAAGCCTTTGCAGAGGTAAGAGGTGATATGAGGTGTTGCAATGAGCCTCATCCAGTCTGCTGGGTTCCCCTGAGAAGACCTCACCCAGTCTGATGGGGTTCCCCTGAGAAGACCTCATCCAGTCGCCCAGAATGGTGGTGCTTGTCTGTGATCCCAGCGGCTCCAGAGGCTGAGGCAGGAGCATCACAAGTTCAAAAACAGCCCCAGCAACTTAGTGAGTCCCTAAGCAACTCAGCCAGACCCTATCTCTAAATAAAATATATATTTTTTAAAAAGAGATGGGGGAGTGGCTCAGAGTTAAGTGCCCCTGGGCTCAATCCCCAGTACCAAAAAATAAATAAGTAAAACAAAATAATAAAAAAGACAGAGACGTACAGGGATGGCCACGTGCAGACACAGACGACAGCATCTGTGAGTTGACAGGAGCAGCCTCGGAGACGCTGAGCGACCCCGACCCTGCCAGGGACGCAGTCTGCAGAGCTGAAGGGGTGCGTTCCGGGTGGAGCCACTGGCTGTTGTCCTGTGCAGGCTGGTTTTCACATCAGCACAATTCCAGTCTGCCACAGAGAGGCTGTCCAAGCCCTCCTCTCAGCAGAGCACCTCCGCGTCACTCTCCGGGCAGGAACCCTGTGACCTTGCCCTGGGCTCTCCTTCATTTTCCTGAGTCTGACTCAGCCCCACGTTCCTGGTGGAAGGCTTGGCCCAGGCCACCACCTACCCTCATCTGCAGGAGAAGCCCAGGCAGCCTAGCCCTGCTCCAAGCCCTAGCTGGCGGGGAAGGCTGCTCTGGGCTGGGCCTGCTGACCCTTGACCCCTGACCTGCAGTGATGTCACAGCAGCTCCACAGCAACCACCCCCATTCTGGCTCCTCCCTGGAGAAGGGAGGACAGGGAGAGAGGGGCAGCAATGCCCTCAGTGTGAGGCTGTGCAGGCCACAGCTCCCTCCTCCCGCAGGCAGAATGGAGAAGGATCCAGCCACACACAGGAGGCACCGGCCGGGCCCTGGGGCCCTGCCCTCAGGAGTGGCCCCTGGACATCTCAAGGCAGCCAGTGAGGGGGCCGAGCTCCAGAGGAGCCAGAGCATGGGTGGCTTGCACCAGAAGGGAGACCCCCCAAGCCGCATCAGGAAGCTGCGCAGGGAGCCGGGTAGGAGGGTAGGAGGGTCTCTGCTGGAGGGCCCAGGGCTGCCTGGGCCGGCAGCTCAGGAAGGGATGGATCCTGCGGACACCCACCTGGGGCGTCCCCAAGCACAGGGTGCTTTCCTGCCTGGGGCTGTGAGACCACCCCACTGACTCCTTGCCAGATGCTCCCGGGAACTTCGAAGTCCCACAGTAAGCTCAAGAGCAGGGGGCGTCCCCTCCGTCCAGGCAGGCCTTCCTCACCTACTTTGACAGGCCATTCACAGGCTGGTCAGGAAGCAGCAGGAATGGCCTCCAGGTCTGGTCCTCAGCGACCTCAAGCAGCAGCCCTGAGACAGATGACGAAGGACCCAGCTTAAGGCTGGATGCACTGGGTAGGAGGGGTGAGCCCCCCAGCAGGAACAGGTAGCAGGCTGCCTGGTCTCCATGGAGCATGACCCTGGAGGACGGGCAGAGTGGACGTGGCATCCAGCCAGGGATGGCTGGCAAGAAGGCTCCCCCATCTGCAGGTCTTCCCTGGCCCACTGTGCTGGGCTCAGGGCTTGCTGCTGGCCAGTCCCTGCAGGAAGCCCTCCAGGACAGGGCGATCCCCAGTCCCCAGGGTCCTGGCTGTTCTTCATCAGAACCATGGTTCAAAGCTTTGGGACCCCCCGGCCACGTTCGGGGTGGCCCACGCCTCTTATCCCAGTCACCCAGAAGGCTCAGGCAGGAGCATCACATGTTCAAGGCCAGCCTGGGAAACAGACCTGGATCAAAAACTAAAAGGGGCTGGGGCATAGCTCATTGGTAGAGTCTCACTACGTTCAACCCCTGGTACCAGACAGTAAATAGATAAATGATGAGTTCCCTGGGCTGCGTCGGCTCCTGGTGGTTTGCAGGAGAGGGGCTGCAGCAGGGAGCGCAGTCGCGGCACTCAGACCTGGCAACCTGCCTCTCCTAAAGGGCTTGCACAGCCACATGCACGTGCAGGGACCTAGGTCAGGAAGCCGGCAGGTTGAGGAGGCCCATCCTCTCCAGAATCACCAGGAAGCTCACAGGGTTCCCTCACCTCAGGCAGATTCAGGGTGCTCCTGTGCCCTGCCTAGGAGAGGGGACTGCTAAGAGCACCTGGCTGGGGGCCAGAGAACTGGCGGCCATCCCACCTCCTTCTGTCTTCCTGAAAAGGAAGCCTGGGGTGACCAGCAGGAGCAGAGGCCCCTCCCCCATCCTGTTCCTGTCACTGTGCTGGGACAGGGGGTTTCTAAATCCTAGGGCCTCAGACGTTCACTGTGAGGCGCCTGAGTCCCACAGAGATGGCAGAGCTGGGAGAGGCCTGTGCTGCAGACGAGATGGGGTCCAGCTCCCGATGGCCACTCCCCCTGCTGCCAGGTGGTCCTGAGCACACTGCAGGAGGAGCTTCAGACCAGGACAGTGCTGCAGGTGGCGAGCCCTGGGCTGGGGCAGACTGGTCTCAGGAGCCAGGGCCCATGTGCCAATGGTGCTGACCAACACTGTCCTTGCTTCTCAGAGTCTGAAGACCAGGGGCAAGACCCAAGGAGGGATGCAGATGATACCATCTGGTAAGCAGGTGTGTGTGTGTGTGTGTGTGTGTGTGTGTGTGTGTGTGTGTGAAGAACAGACCCCACCAAGGTCAGGCTTGGGAGGGACCCGAAGGACCCAGTGTCCTGAGAAGATCCACCTGAGGGCCTGTGGGGGGCGTTTCAAGAATTCACGTTTATTGGGAGGGACTCCCCACAGAAACAGGACCCTCTGTCCCCTCCTTGCAGCCCATTCCAGCTGGCCCTGGCCTCAGGTCAACTGGCTTGGCCAAAGTGTCAGAGCAAACAACCCCACAAACCACCCTGGAAAGGAGGTGCTGGACCCAAGGAGGTCTCTTCTGTTGGGGTGGGAGCGTGCCCAATGGCTCCACAGAGGGAGGCCCCGACGGACTCTCCCAGCATAGCCCTGCCCCCGGCTCCACCCACCTAGGAGGCCTCAGTCACTGAATCTCCCGAGAATCCTTCTTGGACATCAAGGTCCAACTCACCACCATGGACCCGGAGTGGCCTCGTGGAGACCAGGGTGCTCGGCCACCAGTGTGGCTGGAGGGCAGAGGGCCTGGGGGAGGCCTGGAGCACCCTCCCTGCCCAGCTGGGTGTGGGTGGCAGGGCTGAGCCAGGAGGCCCACTGTCCTCTTGGTGGCACAGTGAGACGCTTGCCTTTGCCCCACCATGTCTCCCCACCCGATGCTGGAGAAGCCCCTCCCTGCACCCTAGATTCAACAGAGTGCTGCAGGGAGGGTCACCCAGGTGGGGTGGGTGACGGGCCCAGACCCAGCCCAGCCCAGTCTCCATGGATGGCAGCTGGTCTTCAGGCAGAGGTAGCCATGCACTCACTGATGGTAGTCACCTCTGCACAGCGTATTCTGCTCCTTTGAGCAGGTGGGACCTGCTTTCTCCATCAGCCCAGTTAACTGTTGCTAGCAGGATACTGTCATTCAGGGTGTGTCTAAACAAGAGGGGTCATTGGAGAAGTCAGGGTAGGCTGGCTTTCAGTGCCAGGAGGCCACCTCATGTCCAGACCCTCTACCCACAGAAGGGCCCCACAGACTCAGCACTGGCACGAGGCACCCAGGCAAGGGCAGGTCCATCTCCTCGTCCCATGACACCTTTCCCTCCCTGTTTCCCTTCTCTCACAGTCAGGCAAATCTAGAGGAAGACAGGAAGGAAAAGAATCAGGATGCCCTGGGAAGCCTGGACCTTGAGTGTGGGAAAACGGAGTCAGAGGTTGAGAAGAGCGACTCAGAGACCAGCACCAAGGAGGAGCAGGCAGGAGCATGTGCAGGCAGCTGCGTCCTGGAGGCTGAGGTGAGCCCCACTTGGTGCCTGGGGCCTCTGTCGTCTTGATGGGGGTCTGCTTGTATCAACCTGTGGGTGTCTTCTTTGGCTTGCAGGAACAAGAGCTGGAGTCCGCGAAGCTGAATGATCTTCTGACAAAAGAGGCAAGAGCTTCCTTTGGTGACAGGAGCAAGCCCGCCCGGCCATGAGCGCACTGCAGACTGGTGGTCCTGGGGTCACCTCAGCAGAATCCATGCTGTAGAGCTGCCCCAGGCCCTCCCCTTCATCCAGAGAGGCCGGGGTCCAAGCTTGGCCTCTGCTGTCCCAGGGCATCCTCGCCCAGCTTGCCAAACAGGGCAGGCACTGATGGAGTTGGGGCCGAGGAGAACAAGCCAGAGCCACCTGCCCAGATGCAGTGTTAGGGATTCTCACGGACACTTGATACAGGAAGGTTGATTCTAGTCTCCTTCCCAGACCGTGTGCTAGTTATGGAGAGGGTGGACATGTTGCTTACCAGGATTTTACAACAGACCACCTTGGGTGTGGTTATGGGCCAGCCAAAGTGCCCAGACGGAGACCCTGAGGCAGCTATCAGCTGAACTGCAGGGCCACTGCACCCCAGTGTGAGTCTTTGCCAGCGGGTGCAGTGTGGCTCCAGGTGAATCTCTGGAGGCAGAATCCAGCTGAGCAGGCCTGGGAGGTACCTCCCCAGGGCATGGCCACTGCCCAGAGGCCCTGGTGGGTGAAGGTGTGGGAGACCCTCTGAAGTCTCAGGAACCTGATGGGAAGTGAGTAGGGTGGACGGGAAGGCCATATTCCTCCCTCTCGCTCCCTGCCAGAGTCAGCCCCACAGATACCTCATGGCCACACTGCCATTAGCCCTCCAACCAGCTTTGCCGGACGCCCCACCCTGAGCATCACCAGCATCTGATAACCCTGGTGCCTGCCCTGGCCTGCCTGGCTGCCCAAGGCCAGGAGCTGCAGCCCCTTCCAGGAAGTCTGCTTTCTTCACAGCTCACCCCAGCTCTGTGATTTCCACCCACAGAAACCATCTGCATTCGTGGAGATTGACCTGGGAGATCATGCCGAGGAGGTACAGACAAAACCCCTCACCACCTACCCAGAAAGTGCCTGTACCCAGACTGGGCTGGGCAGGTTTGGGGGACTTGCCCATAGCAGGCCTGTTCAGAGGGTGAGGCAGAAACCCACGACCAACAGCTCCTTGGATGCTCCACGGTGATGCGACTTGGCCTCCCTTATTCCCACTCCCACGTACCCTGGGGCTGTATTCTAGGGCCTGGGTAAACTATTGGCTCCAGAACCTCTTGTGGGATCACACCAGGTAGTAGAAAGGGTGAAGCCTGGAGATTTGGACCCAAAAATACCTTCTGTGCCTCAGTTGTCTCCTCTGCCAAAAAGGGACTGTAGAAGTACCCCCAAGTTGTTTTGTAGAGATCTCAGAAGAGAGCACCATACCCAGAAATCCACAGTATTAAGTATCACCACCATGACTATCACAACCATCAACATTGTCATCTCCAGCACTGTCATCACCATCATCACCATCACCCCACCACCACCAGCAGCAGCATCACTGTCATCCCCACCAGCACCACCCCTCATCCCCAGTCATCACATCATCTCCCATCAGCACTACCATCACCACTATCACCATGACCCACAGTGGATCATTATCTGTACATCACCACCATCACCATCATCGTTACTGTCACATTACACCATCACCATCACCATCATTACTGTCACCATTACACCATCACCACCATCATCATTACTGTCACATTACACCATCACCATCACCACCATTACTGTCACCATTACACCATCACCATCATCATCACCATCTTTACTGTCACCATTACACCATCACCATCACCATCATCATTACTGTCACATTACACCATCACCATCACCATCATTACTGTCACCATTACACCATCACTATCACCACCTTCATTACTGTCACATTACACCATCACGATCACCATCATCATTACTGTCACATTACACCATCACTATCACCATCATCATTACTGTCACATTACACCATCACCATCACCACCATTACTGTCACCATTACACCATCACCATCATTATTACTGTCACATTACACCATCACCATCATCATCACTGTCACCATTACACCATCACCACCATCATCATTACTGTCACCATTACACCATCACCATCACCATCATCATTACTTCACCATTACACCATCACCATCACCACCATCTTTACTGCCACCATTACACCATCATCATCACCACCTTCATTACTGTCACCATTACACCATCACCATCACCACCTTCATTACTGTCACCATTACACCATCACCATCACCACCTTCATTGCTGTCACCATTACACCATCACCATCACCACCTTCATTACTGTCACCATTACACCATCACCATCATCATCACCATCACCACCATCTTTACTGTCACCATTACACCATCACCATCACTGTCATTATAATTATCACCATCCTCTTCATCACTGTATCCTGATAACACTGTCACCATCCCCACCGTCAGCATGACCACCCTCACATCACCATCACCATCTTCATCACCATACCTGGATAGCCACTGTCACCAGCACCAGCACCATTATTCCCACTGTCAGCCTCATCACATTGTCACCACCATTAAAAAAGACGAAGTTGACATGAGGTTCATCTAGGGCCTTCCAACACGAGGGTCCAATTCTCTGCTCTGGCCAGCAGTCACCATTTTTCGAGTTTCTCGAAGTTCTCTTCTGGAGAGTTTAAGTTCTGCCTGAGAGTTGGTTCTTCTCCATGGTGCACTCTTTCCCCTCAGATCACACCCTACTGTGCAAGGAGCTTATTAAGTCCCCACCAGGCTCCTCCTGGGGGTCCCCTGGGTTCCAGGGATTCCAGGGGGTTCAGCCAGCAGCAGAGTTGCACCAGTTGGGATCCCTGTCAGGTGGAGGCTGCTCGAGCCATGGCCTCTGGGACCCACCTCCCCTGGCCTACTCCTTGGCAGACCCCACAGGTGGACACCCCCACCCTCTGAACCTGCCTGCCTCTCCCACAGGTGGCCACCCGTGCTGTGAGAGAAGAGAAGTGGGGCGAGATGGACATAGGGGATCTGTCAGAAGACGAGTGAGTGGGGCCTGTGGGCTTGCGTGGGGATGAGGGCAGGGCTTGTCCTCTCTGCAGGGCACACTGGACCCCCAGTGCCCCTCATGTGGGTGCACGCAGAGGTCAAGAAGGGACTGAGAGGCAAGCACCCTATTTCCCTCAGACCCTACCCTACTGAGATGATGGGATTAAACCCCTGTGTGTTTGGCTCTGAGTCCAGGGTTCCTGCAACGGGAAAGGGGGGGGCGGCTGCCTCGCTGCAGGGGAAAGGGCTGGCTGCCAGATTCCAAGTGGCTCACTTCTGGACCTGGGGCTAGCTGGAGGACAGGGTAGCAGACTGGCTCTGCGGGAGTCTGCTTCTGCCATAGCCTCAAGGCTGTGGACAGAGTGCCCTGGGGGGTGGAGTGAGCACAGTCCAAGTGGGGAGCAGGCTGGAGCACCGCAGGTGCCCGGCAGGGCCAGGCAGGGTCTTTCCTTACCACAACACCCTACTTCTGGCCTCTAGGACCAGGACCAGCTGGGTGTGCTGCATCCCTTACCCCACCAAAAGGAAGGCGGAGGGCTGTGCGGCAACCCTGGAGCAGGTACTTAGCTCCTGGAGAAGAGGGAGGGGCGGGGTGGGGATAGCACCGGTGGTCACACACCCTGTGCCCTTCCCAGGACCCCTCGGACCAGGCTCCCAGGGACTCTCTCGGGATTGGCCAGAGCTGAGAATGAGGGTCAGAGGAAGCGGTGATGCCAGCTCCCAACCCTCCCCAAGAGTGCAGCCCTGAGACCATCGGCCGAAGCCCTGGACACTGGGCGCGACGTCAAACTTCAAAAGACGCAGGGTGAGTTGGCTGGACACACTTTCTCTGAGGTGTGGAAAGGGGCAGGAGTGTGGCTCAGCCTTGCAGGCCATGTGGTCAGAGACTGTAGGTGACCACACTCAGAACTGCTGAGGGGCCAGGTACAGGACCCTGCAGTGGGGGAAGCCGCCCAGCAGCCTGACATCCTCCTCTGACAGTTGCCTGGAGTAGCCCTGACGGAACTAGAGGACAGGGATCCCAGTGCTGCACTGGGGAGCTGTATGGCTCAACTTGGCAGAGGAGAGAGGGACCTCCCCCTTGGGCAGTCGTCAGGATGCCCGTCCCCCACTCCCCAGCCTCCCCAGCTTTCCTGAATCATGGCTCCAAGAGGCTCAATGCTCAGGGAGGTTCTCATAACCCAAACCCCGAGCCCCAGGCGCGACAGGCTGGGTACTGCAGGGTACAGCCCTCCTCCATCTCAACTCAGTCACGTGGACTTCCTGAAACTAGCCAAGTCCTCTGGAAAACTGACCCTGATTCCTGGTCCAGGCTCCGCGCAGTCCCACCCTTGGGAAAAGGCCACACAGACTGTGGGGCCTGCAAGAAGTGAGCAGCCTGGGTCCCTCACTGTGCCATGAGTAGCCTTTAGGGGGCCTTTAGGGAGCAGGTATAGGCCCAGGCCCTTCTAGAACATTCTGCCTGCACTAGTGGGCCCCATGTCCCTTGGTGGGTAAGGAGACGGGGGTGCCTCTTCTGGCAGCCAGGACAGGTGTTGGCTGCCTGCTGCGCGGCTTGTGGCTGCTGCAGGTGGTCCTCAGTCAGTCCTGTGCTGTCACCTTCAGGAAGCAGCCCTCTGTGTGCACCAGGTCCAGCAGCCCTGCAGGTCTCGGCTGGCCAACAGCGCCCCCTGGTGGCATGCTTCCCCACACGGCTCTGCTTTCAGTCCTAGGAAACACCATCCAAGAGGGGCCGCTGCGCTGGACTCGACCTTCACAAAATCCACACTCCTCCACTGCTTATTCATTAAAGGACAGCCAGGATGCGCTTGGTGGCTGCACTTAGTCATGACTCTGCATTGGAGCCTATGGGGCCAGGCTCTGCCTGGGGGGCCTGCGTCCTGACCAGCTTGACTGTGGGGGGGCCCCAAAGCAAATCCCCACAAGCTCTGCACAAAACAAGAAGCAGAAGCACGACCCCTCAAAGGAAGACATGAGTCCCCGAGTGCCCCACAAGGGACATGGGGATGTGCAGGTCAGGGGAGGACAGATGTCTGTGGGCCATGCCAGGCAGGGCCCTGCAGGGCACAGCATCTGCTCTCTGACTGCCAGAAGGCAGGGAAGTGCAAGAAGTCCCCTGGAGAGATGTCCAGGGGACACACTGGGGAGGGGGACCTCCCGCCTCCCTCTTCCCTACAGCTGAGACTCCCCCTGGGACTCAGAATTCCTCATGGGGATACCCGGGGGTGCAGAGGCAGAGAGAATGCTGGGCTAGGAGGCCTCCGGACGGGGTGATCCAAGCTGAGATTCTCAGGGTCTTTCTCCTCCACTGGGCAAGCCTAATCATGGAATATGTGGGGACTCAGCCCACTGACTGGGGCCCTCTGAAGGGTGGGACAGTGTCCGGTGCAGGGCAAGGAGCCAGCCCCCGCGAGGAGCCCAATTGATTCATCCAGTTTGGTTCTGACAAATACTGGAGGGATCAATAGGAAAGGAAGCCCATTTCACACTAGAAAACTCACAAGTGCAAAGGGCAGGGCAGCGGACAGCTGGGCAGTGGGTGGACCTCCACAGCGCTATAGCCAGCATGATCCATCCTCCCAAGAAAATGGCCCTCAACCAGCCCCGTCCCCCATGGACTTGCCACAATGGGCCCCCATGGCAGGAATGCAAACTACTCAGGAAAACGCCAAACCTCCAAGACAGGACACATCTGCAACGGGTCTGTGTCCCAATAGGTCAATTCATCCATACCTCTCTGCCCACGGAGGCCGGTCCCCAAGTAAGGAGATACTGTCCTCAATCAAGGAGACTCTATCCTCACAGCAGTCATCACTCTGCACCTGCCTAGTGACTCCA